ATTCTCCCATTTACTGGCACAGCCCACCCTTAGCAATAAGGTTGCCACGGAAACAGCAAAACTCTGATCGGGTGAGAAAGAAGAGGTGAGAATGAAAGAAGATGGGGGCAATTTACAACAGTTTTTTATTGAAATAAATCAACTAGAATGTGTTAAAATAGTTTTGGTTGTTTTGTGGGGGGTTTTTTGCTGTTTTATTGTTGTTGTTGTTATTGCTATGGGAGAACCATAGCCTTTGCCTACAGGCCTTGAGGTTTCTTTGTTGGTGGTTGCTTTTTTTTTTTTTTTTGCAAAGGACACTAAGCTGAGGTCTGACTCAAACACCCAGTATGGAAAAAAGTCTAAGTGATGTGAGCTTAGTCTGTATTTTTTTCCCTGCAAAATGTTTTGAAGTAGAGGTATATAGTCATGACTCTTCTTAGTGACACTGATGGAAACTTCTGTGCCTTTCAATATTTCTATCGGCTATGTGGTGAGTCTCCCTTGAAATCACAGGAGCATGTAACTGAGCTCTGTGTGCAGGTATTTCAGAGACTCAGAGGAAGACAGACTATGTTGCATTAAGTATATACAAACAGGATAGATAGAATTATATAGAAATACTTTTTTAGTTAAAATAGCTACATACCTTCTTAAGAAGGTTAGAGCATAATGCTTTTTAGCTTGTCTTGGTGTTATCTTGCTGGTCTGTAAGTACATCATCAGAGGTCTCACATAAATAAAGCTGGATTAGGCTGATTAATATATGGATAAGAGATTTCTGGTATAGATCTAGCTCATGCAAAAATTCAATTTTCCCTTCTCAATTAACTGATCAAAGAAGAAATGTCCCCATAGGATATTAGAAACGTTTGTACTACTGAAACACTATCTTTTTATGTGAGGAGTTGATCATTTGTGATACTAAAGATTCTTCAAGACAATTTACTAAAGCAGAGCATTAACACTTGTGCCCATCATATTACAATGAGGAACAGCATCCTATTTGCTGACAGCTTAATGCTGCATCATAGTAATAGTTTGGATTTTTTTCCCAAAATCATTGTCTTCCTCGTGCTGATTTCTTAAAAATTCAGCTTAGTCCACAAGCAATTTTACTGCCACCAGGCAGAAACTGTTGAAATGCAAATAGTCTTTCAGCAGAATGTTAACAGTTTCTAGCACTTGTTTGTACAAAGTACATATTTAACCACAGTGCATTACTGGAGCTAGATATTTTGCTGATTCTGGTTATATGGTTACTATTTCTCTAAACACAGGTCACTGAAAGTCACTTTTTTTGCATTTGTGAGAATTTCTTACTACAGGTCGTGGAACGTGGCAGTTGTGCTGCCTGTTCTTCCTCTTTACCGTGATCACACCATCTTAACTGGTTTACATTGTGTATTGACATGTCTCCTACCTTTGCATATGCAGTGATTTAAATCCTTCTAAACCTCATCCTAACCCAAAGTGTAGTTTTCATCCCTTTCCCTTCCTTTAATCTTGCCCCTCAATATCTTCCCCCCGCCCCCCGCCCTTTGCTGTTAATAAAACTTACTTGCTTCTGAAATACAGGCTGCAGAGGTAGTTAAGATACAGAAGGAAAAAAGGTGGAGCTAAGGATGAGCCCCTGAGAGCCGCTTGGAGGGAGAAAAGGAGGAACAGTCACATGACACACAGACTGCGTCAGGGTGAGAGGAGGATCCATAAGAAAACAGAACTGAAAAAACAGAACGAGAAAAAAAAATCCAAAAAAGAGGGACTGGTCAGAGCTGCCAAAGTTACCAGTAGTTCTTAGGAAATGCTGTACTTCATGAAAGGCAGTGTACACACCCTCACTGTGTATGTATTACTAGGATCATATATTATTTTGCATTTATCAACACTGAATTTCCACCTGCCATTTTTCTCATTGTTCTATGGCCATTTGTTACTCATGATGGCAGTGTCTGGCTTATCTGTCTAAAAAAGAAATGAAAAAGGCTCATTTTCAACTTGGATCCACTTTACTAGCTGACCTAGCATAGTCGCAGATAGAGAGATTAGAGAGAAATGGCGATTTAAATGTCTTGCTGTCAGTAGTGCTACAATAATAGTAGTAACAAGCTTGTTTAAGGCTAGCATGCTATAATCAGTGTGTAAAATTCAGGCACATTATTGGAAATACCAAACACATTATAATGCTCTGGCAATAGCTAGAATTAACCAGATCCTAATTTTAGTTGCAGTTTATGCCTGTTACAAGGTCTCCTAATTTCATTCATTATTTCCTGGAGTTGGATTTGAACCTGCTGCCTGTAGGGCAAAATTATCTACCCTTTCTAGTCCCAAGAACTGTAAAAACCAAAGTTTTAAAATGTTTGGTTCACCCAATTTAGGGCCAGATTTGTAAAGAAGACTGTGGCACTGAAAGGAGCACCAGATTTCAAGCACTGATTAATTCAGTGGCTAATACTCCTCTTCAATGTCTAATGTCAGATTTCCAGGAGAGCTCGACATCCACGAGATGTCTTCGTAGCATTTCTTTGTCCAGTGAAGCAGTATCACAAATTAGTCCTTTTGCTGGTGCTCTGGGAAGCTTTTATTCTCTAGGTTTCCCTCTGCCTCTCTTTCAGTGGACTGATGATCATACTGTTTTAAAAGGTCTAATCTGTTAATAGGGTAAATAAGTATATGCTTTTTTTTTTTTCAAGCAGGTGGGTGTTGGGATTTTTTTTGCATCAGGGATCTCTGAAGGCAAACCTGTAAAATCTGTGAATCTGCTGGTGCACACAGAGAGCAATCAGAACATCAAACGAAATGTGCACATTCATGTTCCCATGCTGGATGTAAATGAACCGGCTGAATGAACACGTCGGGGAGAAACCCAGATATGACTCCCCAGTTTTCCTCACCTGCCATGCCTGTGGACACCCTGTGCATTTCTCTGGCAACACCCTCTCTTCCACAAAGGCTTTATGACCCACCCTCGTCTGCTCAGACACCGGCTTCATTTTCTGGTGTTGCTAAGAAAAAGGTGCCGCCTGTGCTTGAAATGGGATCTTCCACTATTTAGCAAGGCTTTGCTGAATGAGTCATCAAAGCCGGCTGGTATTGGCTGGGCTGGTAGCACCCAAGGGATTGCCTGGCAGAGGCTGCGAGGCCTCGCTTCATTCACAGAAATGTGGGGATGCTAGCCAGCCCTTTCATTCACACGCACAGAATCTCATTCACATTTTGCAGTTTCGCTAGCCGCTTCTAATGAAGAGAGCCATTTGGGAACAATAGGGTTTTCTGGGCAGTAAAGACATGTAAAAATAGGCTATGGTGTGTATATTTGCTGTTGCTATGCTAGGAGGATGAAGAGAGGAATGAATGCTGTGTGGATGCAGTAGCAGGTTCGCAGTGTGGTGATGAAGGGCTATTCTGCAGATCACTAGAAACCTGCTTTTACACTGACTAGGGCATTGCTATTACTCATCACTGCTGGGATAAGAGGTGCTGACTTAATTTAATGTGTCATGAATATACTAATTAAATACCTGTATTTGAGCTGGCTGTTTCACTGTATTTGCACTTGGTGTACTGCAGCCTTTAGTCATGAGAGAGGGAAGGCATTCCATACGATTTTTCCTTTAAATTATGCTGCAGTTAGTAATTTGTTTAAAAAATAACTTTGCACTATGGAACTTTTCTGGTCTGAATTTGTTTATAATGCAATGTTTTGTCCTACATCCAAAAGATGTTTTACAAAGAAGATCAGTTTATAGAAAAGAGCCATATGGCTTGTGAAGGGCATTGTATATCACAATGCTGTACACATTTTGTATTTTTCAAAAAAAAAGTAGGAGAAATATCTGTTTTCTGCCTGTTTTGCTACTTCTCAGATCAAGTGTTTGTGGCTGACATTTATGCTTAATAAGACTTGGTGCATTTTTTTATTTTTCACTGCAGGATGTCAGTTTGATGTTACCTGGACTTTTGACTATTCTTTTAGGTTTTTTTCAGTTTTTCAGAATTAAACCAAACATTCCAGTGAATTGAAGATCCTCATCATGTTTTTCTTCGAAGTGAATGTCAGTGCTGAAAGGAAGAACATCTGTTAAGCCTGTTGTTGGACATCAGAAAAATATGTTTCGTCACACATAGGTACTTACGTAATTCCTTCATTAAAATAGAAGGTTGTTGTGAAGTAACAGGGGAGAAGGATTTCTTTCTCTATCAAAAATTGAATGTAACACTTTCCATGAGAGACAGCATTACACAAAGGCACTTGTAAAGTCTGTTATGCTGCTTTTGTGGAAGAAAATGTGTATATTCTTTGGTTCTGTTGTTTGTTCTGAAGACATTTAAGGTGTCTGTGTTTTGCTTGGGGGTGGGGGTGGGTGGGTGGGTGTATATGTGTAAATACTATCCAGATATTTGCTATCTAATTGTGACTTCTTTATAGATTCAGAAATATGTGAGGTGGAAGAACATTTAAACAGAAGAATAAAGTGAAGTGTTTCATAAAGGCTGCTAGTTCAGTTTTAAAGGTAATTG